GTTATGAATTGTATTGCAAATATCTGTGTTTTCAATGATCTTAGGTGACTCTTGTGAAATGGTCATTCTATCCCAAAGGGGTTATAACCCTCAGGTTGAGAATCACTATTCTAGATATAAGATAAACTGACAAGGAAACAGAATTCTTTATAGGATATGAGAGCCAACATTTTAAAATCAAATATGTGAGGGAAGATACAATTACACATTTTCTTCTCTCAGAAAAGAGAAGTGTAACATTTCACTAGTTTGCTGCCAGGTGGTCATAGTTGCTGCCTTTTCTTTGCACTCACAGATGACCTATCAGAGGGCCATGAATAAGCAGAGCACCTGTAATGAAACTGTATGACAAACCTGGCAAAACCATGGTCCTTTACGTATGTGACATAATTTGTGTGTCTCTGTGTGTATGTATGTGTGTGCATGTGAAGGCCAAAGGTCAATGCTGGTGTTTGCTTTGCCATTTCTGTACCTTAATTTTTGAAATGGGACATTTCACTGAACCCAAAGCTTATGATCCTGCTAGGCGGGCTGTACAGAAAGGCCCAGGAATCCCCCTGCTTCGTCCTGCCCAGCGTTAGGATCACAGGAGCACACGTCCATGCCTGGCTTGTTCACACAAGTGGTGGGACCTAGACTCAAGCAGACACTGGATCACTGGACCGTCCTTCCCACCTCCTGTAATATCCTTTTTACACTGAACGTCTCATTTTATCTCTCCATGTACTGCTGTCAACTTAGTCAGCACCTCTAGTCAAAGAGTGTGGGAGGAAACTCCAAGACATTGAGGTTAAATTTTAACGTTCATTCACTTTGGACACAAGACAACATTTGAACTCTTTATCTTTTCAAATCCTATATTTTTAAAATCATCTCTGCTTTGTCTTTTTGTGTATGTGTTTACATGTGTGTATGTGTGTACTTGTGGGGGGGGGCTATACGTAGAGGCCAGAGGTTGCTTGTCAGATTCTTCTTCATCATCCCGCTGAGCTCTTGAGAAAGGGTCCCCATTTAACCAAGAGCTTGCCATTTGTGCTAGACACCTTGTGGCTAGACAGGAAATCCCTGGATTCTGCTTGCCCCCCCCCCCCCCGCCAGCACTGAGGTGACAGGCTGACAAGTGTGTGCCAACAATCTTGGCTTTATTTTTACATTGGTTCCTGGGGTCTAAACTCGGGTCCTTATACTTATGCAATAAGCACTTTTCCCACTGAACCATCTCCTCAGTTCTATAATCCTAGATTTTTCTACAGAAGGAATGTCAATTTAGACTAGAAAGGAATTAAAAATATCACAATAAGCACTGTTTCATTCTAAGGACCAAGCACACACACACACACACACACACACACACACACAACTAGAAGAGAAGTGCTGGGCTATTTGTACCCACAAACATAACAAAACATTTAAGATTTACTAGAGGAAAGTATAATAGATTTGAAAAAGAAAATTTCTCAAAATATCTCAGCATGTAATATCAGACTGAAGAATACAAACAAGAGAGGCCTGAAATCTACCTAAGGTGTTCCAAGCAGACTGACTCTGCCTGGTCTTACTTTCAATCTACAATGAATAAGACCTCCAATTGTGAGTGTAATAGTTCATTACTACATTTTATAATTTTTAAATGAACAATAAAGACGAAATTCAATTAGATTCATTTGACTTGCCAGGAAAAGTATACCATAGACCTTAATCAGAATTTCTAATTGAGCCTGAGTTTGTAACAAGATAGTCTCTTTTTTCTGAAAAAATTTTTAATGACTGTTAGAGTCTGAAAATGTTGTTCATACCCCATTGAAATTTAAAAATAGAAACAGAATGTTCTCTGCCTGTTTCTTTGAAATAAATCCCCCGTGGTTCTCTTGGTTATCACTGCTTAATCTCGTGCATTCCTGCTCTGGGCTTCAAAGGTTACTGATGAAAACTAGTACTGGGTCAAAGAGGGAATGAGAATGGTGGGAAACCCAGCGGATTTTTATATTTATATTTGTTTATAACACTGTGCCGTGGACGGTGCTTAACCATTTCTCTGGATAATTGTGAAACTCTTCTCCTTGGAAAAAGTAAGAAATGCTCACCACAGTCTTGCTGTAGCCCTGAAGTGACTGACAACAGAAATGAACTACATAGTAAAATCTGGTTGTTTAGTTCGGCTTTTAAACTAGCCAGTTCTTTATTCTTGGGAAGATAGATTTAGTGTTCTAGACTGATATCCCCCTCATTTAAAGATTAATTGGGGTAGATTGTACTTTGGACTTTCTTTTTTTTTTTTTGAGAGACTTTTAATTTTATGTGTATGAGTATTTTTAATTTTTACTCTATTTTTTTAATTAGTTTGTTCACTTTGTATCCCACCTGTAGCCCCCTCTCCTTACCCCTCCCAGTCCCACTGTCCCTCCCTCTTATTCTGCTATGCCCCTTGGACTTTCCTGACACATCCTAAAAGTAAAATTCAGTCATACCTATATAGATTTTCAGACAGATTTCATGAAGAGATGCTACCTTTTCATGGCAAAGTTACTCTGATACTTTTCATTCTGTTTTTTTTTTTTCATCTCCATATTTTTAATGAATAAACTCATGAATGAATTGGGAATTATTTGATAAATAATGGAGTAGTTGTTATATATATAACACTTAATTTTAAAGTTTTAAGTTCATTTCTTCTGTTTTTACTTGTAAATTTCCCTCTTTCTAATTCTGTATTAAATCTATGTATAAGTCACAGATGTTAGTAGGATAGAAGATTCTAACTACAATGGTAAAGTACCAATCATATTATTTCAATATTCAAATATTTTCTACTTTATGCTAGGAAATATTGAAAGTTGATCAGCGTAAAAGAGTTTTTATGAGTTTCTACCCAACATTATTACTTTTGTTATGCCTTTTGTATTTCATCTCCTCAGGCACGTTTGAATAAGAGCTGCAGCAGAATGCTTAGGGAGGGGCAGAGTGAGGACAAGAAGCCAATCTCTTTCCTTCCAGACAAATATTTAAGAACTGACATCATAGCCTTATGGCAGGAACCACAAATGGAAGATTAACTGGATTCAAATCAGGAAATTTTGACTCTACTAAATGAGGGCGGTACAAATTTTGGGGAAATGTCCATGGGCTGTGCTAAGAAACTATCAATACAACCATCATCACTCTAAAAATAACATCTGTTGGAGCAATAAAATAGCTTTCAGGCCATGACTGACTGTGCGATGGTGCTTTGATCTGATCTGATTTCAGTCTACAGAAAATAGCCAGAAGAAGCAGCTAGCAGAAAAGAGAGTCCTCACCTCTGTCCTTCCAGTCAACAGCTCATTTCCCCCAGCCTTCTGGGAGCATTAGCCAACTGCCTGGCCACCACCTACGTAACCTCCAACCTCCAGTCCAGTCTCCTGAGACAGCTGTGCCCTGAGACATTCCACAGGATCAGCCTCAGCACTTCATATGAATTTCTGGATCTCATCAACCGATTGCTATTTCAAGTGATGTGACTGTGTTAACCAGTCCTGTGAGTTCATCCACCAAGACACACAATGACCAGTCAGGTGGTGGAAAGGATGTGCTCCCTCGTCTGTGATTTCAGCTCTGTCTGGACCAAGCAGAGGCTACAGTAATGAGCAACACACAGGCAAGCAGGATATAGTCTTTGAAATTGTTCCTTCAGTGCCCCGCTTTTAGCACTTGGTTCGTCCCTCCCTTCCCCGCCTCCACATTCCTTCCCTTTCCTTTGTTCTTCTGTGTTAAAACAGTTTGGGAGGAATTGAACCTGGTCATGCATGCTGGACATAAGCTGTAGTTGAACAAGCTCCAAATCCTGCTCTCCATATCCTTTTTCCCTTCTGGCTAGTCTACTATTGCTTTGTTGAATTTTACCTGGATCTTATCTTTCTGAATGATTTCATTAAAGTTTTAATTTATCATCCTCCTTCCTAGGTTATGCAAATGGCTCTTGGCTGTCTTGTCCCCTCATATTGCCTTCCAAGCTAGTGCAGTATCAATACAATCATTTTAATCATTACAGAACTATGTTTCATTTTATATACTCTCACAAAAATCTCCATGATATTTTCAGGAGGCCCTGCCTGAGTTACATGTTATTTAAAAAACAACTGGTTTATTCATGCATCAAATTAAAATTATGTTCATATAAGATTAGAACCAGAAAACATTTCAAAGATCATCAAATCTAATCTTTTAATTACACAGATGAGAAAATTGTACCCCACAGAGTTCAACTGACTTACTCCAAATCTAATATTCGGTGTGGTTTGGGGCCAAGCCTATGAGAGAGATGAAAGTACAGAAGTATGGAAAATTGCACACACACTATAATTTCCTGAGAAATCCACTTTGGTTGTTGGCTGTTAACCACTTGAATAAGGCTCAGTGAAAAACGTCAATTACACAACACAACACACTATACTTTCAACCCGTGGGCTCTAACTACTCATGCACCTGGGCTAGAAAACTAGCTGTCTGCTACAGTGAGTTCCACCAGTGTTAATGTACACAGCTCTCTTGCACCCTGGATTTCTAAAGCCATCCTTCCAGAACACAGAAGTTGAATTACTTTTGCCTGGATCAAAGTACACTGACCAAATTCCCTGGAGGAGAAATAAATGGAAAACGGGCTAGAGATTCTGAGTGGGAATTTCTTTTTCTTTATTTATTATGGAAGTAAAGGCTTTAGAAGATAAACACCTCAAAAATGGCTGGACACAGTCTATCAGGCCCAGAAAGCCTTCCCAACCTGTGGAATGCCTGTCAAGTAGAAGTGTTGTGTGCCTGCTGCGCATATGCACTGAAAGCTGCTTTTCTCCAACAAATATTTATGATATGAAAATTAAGGGCCAGAATTCCTAAAAAAGGCACACAGTTCAGGTAGCAGAATTACCCTGTTTTTAAGAAGGTGGACATTGTCTCTATACTTTATTTCTAGCAAGTATCTGTGTGGTTTAGATATGAGGTCTCTTTCGTGATAGAGGAAATGTTACCTGCCGAGGCAGCAATTGCTTCATACTTGATTGAAAAGCCTTCATGGGCAAGAGCTGAGTCAGACACAAATATCAGCTTTATTGAATGCGAACTGCTGGTAAGGGAAGGCGGGATGGATTTTCCACAATATCTGTTCCAAACAAAGAAAGAAGAGATATACAGATTTTTGAACATGTAGTAGATTTGAACTAATTTCCAAAAAAATAGGACATGTAAAGATGATAATGGGTTGTTATCTATTTCCCACAAACCTTGAAACTAAATATATTTCAGTAACTAAATAAACACTTGCTCATGATTCCCTAACTGAGAAAGTTGTGTGTGTCAAGGTGAGTGCCATGAAAAGCTTAATGAAACTGGAAAGCAGGGGCTGCACTACCTGCTGCAGCCTACTGAGGAACTCACTCACACAACTCTAATAAAGGAAATCAAGGCGCTGTAAACTCATCCAGCACAAGCCCTGGATAGCGCCGTCACTCAGGAGCATCATGATTGGGCACATGGTTCATTTGCTCCGTGCCACTTGATCTGTCCGGTTCACATAGTTTCTAACTTCTTGATCAGGTAATACGCTGTGCATTAGCACGGGGAATAGTGCCTGGACAGTGAACTCCGTGTAAGCTGTCTGTCTTTAAACAGCTCGCTTTGGGAAAGGTAAAAGTGGGATTATCAAACAATGTCATTGTTCCTTCAGAACAAAGAAAGTTTTACTCAGAAAATCTGTTCTAGTAATGCTGTAAACACAACTACAATAAATGACATTATGCCATGGTATTTTATTTTGAGAAACACCTGTAAATTAAAAAGCCAAGAAAAATAGAAATTTTAAGCCAATGCATGCTTGGAACAAAAGAGAAAAAATAAAATGGAACCAAAAAATAAGCTGAAATGTTAAATATGAGAAATAGGAAAATTAAAGAAGTTTGTTGTAGACTAGGATTCTAGTGCTAACAGAGATTTGCCATCTTAACAAGACTGAAGGCAGATAAGTAAGTGCGCATGCACACATGGCCATGTAGCCTATGCTGTGACATGATCATTGAAGATTATCCCCTCAGCAAAAATTCCATTTTTGTCATGGTTAAAAATACCCAGGTATTACTCTAAAAAAGTAAAGCTTTAAAAGATGAAAGACTAACATAAGAAGCAAAAGAGGGTGAGAAGCAGTAAATTTGAAATTTGGAGACTGATTTAAAAGAATGTTACAGGTTAATGGATAAAAAAAAAAGATATCAGAAAAAAATTTAAAAAGAAGCAATTAGAGGAGGCTGGAGAGATGGCTCAGTGGTTGTGTGCACTAGCTTCTCTTATAGAGGATGTGGGTTCAAGTCCCAGCATCCACAGAGGGAGCTTAGTACTGGCCTGTAACTCCAGTTACAGGGAATCAGATCCTGGCCTCTCTGGGCATCATGCATGAGGTAGAGAGGCATACAGACAGACAATAAACTGGTACACAATGAATTAATGAATAAGCAAACAAATGAACAAATAAATAACTATTTAAAAAGCAATCAGAGGAACCCTGTTTTCAATACAAGCTTAGAGGCTGCGTTTAACTCTGCACTCAAAAGTCTGAAACCCTAGGGAAAACATATAAGTGCCTCTCAAGACAGGAAATTTCAAATGAGGAAGGAAAACCCTCAAGGTCAGTAAATAAATGAATTAAAATGGAAACTGCAAAGAACTAACTTGGGTTCATGTAACTTAATATTCCAGGACAAAGTCCAAGAATATTTTTTACAAGAACGTATAATGGCTGGTACCAAAAACATAAAATTAAAAATTCTAAACAGCCTATCAAATATTATCAAGTACAAATGAAACAGGAAAGTATAACTCAAAATCAGAGAGAATAATCCACTAAAACAGTAAATAATTACATAATCACTGAATGAGTAAAGATATTAAAATAATTAAACTATATCACATAGATCTAGAAGGTATGGAAAAACCAATATATAGAAGTACAGACTATACATAGTCATGTGGTAAAAAATGCTGGGAAACCCAAGCATGCATAAGCAGAAAAATGAGATAAAAATCAATTCAAAGTAAGTTAAAGAGTTAAATGTGAGAAGCGAAGCAACTAGTCCAGAGGAATACAGGAAAGACACTTTATAATATTGGTCTGGATAAGAAATTCTATAACTATGACCTCAAAAGCACAGGCAAGCCAAGACAGACAGGTAGGAGTCTAGCAATCTACACACCCTCTGCACAGATAAGAACCCAGCAAAATAGAGACTTAGCCCACTGAATGGGAATTACTAGCAAGCTACACATTGGAGAAGGAAACAGTTAATATCCAAGATATAAGAAGAACACAAACCACTTCTTGACAACAAGAAGCATATACTCTGATCAAAACGATGGGCAAAAGCCTTGAATAGGCAGTATTCCAAAGAAGGCATGGAGGTGAGTCATCAATCTATGAAAAAGGGGTGTTACTTATTCATTAACAAAGATGCAAAAACCAAGACCACAATGATTCTATCAGTGTCTTAGTCACTGTTCTATTGCTGTGAATAGACACCATGACCAAGGCAATACTTAATAGAAAGCGTTAAATTGGGGGCTTGCTCACAGCTTCAGAGGGCTAGCCCATTATCATCATGACAGGAAGCAGACAGCATGGTGCTTTAAGTAATAGCTTAGAGCTTTGCACCCTGATCACCAGGCAGCAGCAGAGAATGCTGGAGCTGGAGTGAGCTTTGGAAACCTTGAAACTACTCCCCGTGACATCTCTCCTCCATCAAGGCCACACCTACATTAACAAGGCCACGACTCCCAATCCCTCTCAGACAGTTCCATTAGGTAGGGACCAAACATTCAAACATATGGATGTATGGAGCCATTCTCACTCAAACCTTGACAATCTCATCCTGTCATGATGGCTATTATACAAAATAGATAGCAGTTGTTGGTACTGTAGAGAAAAAATAACCCTTATGCATTGTCAGTGGGTATATGAACAAGCCATTATGGAAAACCATATAGACGTTTTTCAAAAAATTAAAAATGTAACTATCTTGTAGTCAAGTGATTTTACTACTGAGGCTTTACCTGAAGGGATACAGTCTTCAGTATCATCAGTATGCTGAAGAGGTAACTTCATTCTCATGCTCATTATACCAATGATATAGAAACACACTGTGTCCATCAACAGATGAATGAATAAAGAAAATGTGGTACTGGCCAATGATATATACCATAGAACACTGTTTTATAAGGAATGAAATCTTGCCATTCAGAACAAAATAGATAAACTTGGAGAATGTTATATTAAGTTAAATAAGCCAAGCACAGAAATAGAAGTAGTACGTGATCTCACTGATAAATGAATTCTAAAAGAGTAAAGGGTGCAATGGCGCTTACCAGAGCTTAGGGGATTGGGATAGGAGTAAATAAGTAAAGATGTTGGTAAAAGACAGGTAATGTAATTCAAGTTAAAAAGGAGAAGAAATGCTGAGACATCTCTCACATAGCAGTGTGACTATAGTAGATGGCACATATCTTTCAAACATATACACAATGTGGATATTTTGTGTTATTGCCAGTGAAGTGGTGACTATACTAAATTATGTATTCATCAGTAAGGTAAATCTTATTATTCCATGCACTCTCCTTCAGTATATGCCAGTATGCAAGGTCAAAATATGCTGCCAGTTTATAAAACAAACAAAAATGGATATAAAATGATGTAAGTACATTACTATCTTTGTTCATCTGTGCTGTGTACAAAAATATATATGGCAAGTTTCAAGGTTCAGCATAAAACAACAAAATATTCTCACCTCCCGAGAAATTTCTGATCAACAGTGTCATAAATTTCCAGGTAGTCTTTTGTGCAGCTGTAATGAAACTCCAGGTAAAATGAATTGAACTCCAAACGAATCAGTTGGCCACGCTGGACTACTATATGCCAAGTACAATTTACACCACTTGGGTAAACATTTGGATGACCAGGACTTTCAATGATTCCTGTTGGTGCTGTGAGAACTTCTCCACATTCTATTAAATAATAAATCATCATCACCAATCATCATCATTATCATCATCACAACAATTAATGAACAAGTTACATGGATCACAAAATAAACTGTGCTATCATACTCTATTAAAAGCGCAAAAGAGAAACAGCTGCTTCTTACATGCCACTTACAATAACTTATTTCTTTCATATATCTATAGATACATGGTAACGATTGCTAAGTATTTGTTGAAAGCACAGTCTTTGTTTTTAAGTGTACCTTATAATTTTTCACTAAATAATGACTTTTATATAATTTACTTATTGTAAGTAACTTGTATTTTCAGAGGTAGAAATTGAACCCGGAGGCTTACACATGTAGACAAACACCCCTAGTTCAATTGTCCACTTATTCTGATAGCAGCTTAAAAGGGGGGAGGCAGGGAAAGACATGCTCCTACCTAAATTGTCAGCACTGAATTTAGCTGTGAAGCCACGATTTTCCATAGAAGAGCTTTTCACAAATGTGACATAAAAAACATTATACACAGATGTTATAAATGATGGTACTTTTGTGCCACAAAACTTCTCATTTCCAGGAGATCCCAAGACAGAACTGGCACCAATCTAAGGAAAAACGCATATATGCAAGTTAATTTTTGAAAAATTGCTGCCCTTGGTGGGGAAGCTACTGGCAATCAGTAGCTGTGGAGGGAGTGCAGAATGAGTCTCTCTGGGGGACTGGGAGAAGACCAAGTTTTATTTCTTGCTTTACATTCAGGATGCATTTTTATTCTCGCATCACTGCTCTGGTGAGAGTTTTCAGCATAATGCTGAGCAGAAATGAAGCGTTGACACGCCTCTCTTTAACCAGTCATTGAGGCAGAGCTTTCGTCCCTCCATCACTGTGTATGATGGTGTCGATGCCCTCTTTGATGCCTTATAGCAAATTATGAAAGTTCTTCTCATGGTTCTTTTTTTTTCAGACTATTTTTATTATAGGAAGAAGGTAGATTCTGTCTAGTGGTTTCTGTGCTTTCTATTGAGTAAATATATTGTCTTTTAATTTATTGATACTATTCTACTTTACATTATAATTTTCACTGATTTTTAGGACATAAAAATCTACACATACTATTATAAATCACCCAATCACCCTTCTTCATGGCATTTAGTCATATTCCATTTATATATATATATATATATATATATATATATATATATATATATATATATACACATATATATATATTTACTGGATTCTATTAAGTAGCATTCTGCTGGGAAATTTCATATCTATATTTATGAGATAATGGTCTGTACTAACAATGGTCCTCTTTGTATAAATATGATACCTTTAGTAATAATTCAACAGCTTTTCACTCTTACCTCAATGTAATCAGTATCACAGGAGGCAGAACTTCCAGTCTGGAAGTCAGTGAAGTTGAGAAGAACAACTTGTCTTGGGGGTTGGGAGATGGTCCACCTACAGGTTCTTTGTCCAGGATATGCATTAGGATAAAAAGGTGAGCGAATGACTCCTTCTCCTCTTACTTCACCCCCACAAGCTGTAAATAAAAAGGTGGTAACCATATTTGTTCAGAAATAATTTTTGACCTCAATTTCATTACAAATCTAACTTGGCCTAAAAATGCAGACTGTGACACTTTTATGGAAATATTCTTCCTGCCACTCAAGAAATATAATAACTAAAATAAATTTAAAAATTAAAATGTTAAAATAATGTGTAAATTTGACATTTAAAAAGCATGTAGGGAAGGACAGTGAGGGGGCTAGAAAGATGGCCGATCAGTTCAGAGCACTGGCTGCTCTTACAGAAGATATGGGTTTGAGTCTCAGCACCCACAAGTCAGCTCACAAACAGTTGTAACCCCAGTCCCTAGAGACCCGACACTTCTCCTAGCCTCTGAGAGCATGAGGCACACATTCTGTGTCTAGACATTTTATATAGGCAAAAAGCTCATTCACATAAATTAATAAAAAAAATAAATAGAAATGAGAACATAGTCGATAAAGTGCTTGTTGCATTTGCATGGATTCTGGGGGACAAGGGTAGGAAGGGGCGAGCACAGATACAGATATGCCTGGAGCTCACTGGCCCTCCAATCCATCCAAATCGGAGCTCAGTGTAAGGGACTCTGTCTCAATAAGGTGGAAAGGAATTGAGGAAGAGATTAGCATCAACATCTTGGCCTCAATCGGCACCACACACACACACACACACACATATACACGCACACACACACACACACACACACACACACACACACGTAAGCAGTAGTTTCCTTACCAACTTGATAGTCAGCTCTGAAACTAGCTTTCTGGACTAAAGGGTCTATTCTCAATCTGATCCAGACATTATTAGAAATTGATCTAATGGGAAACTGGGTTTCGTTGCCACAGATCTTTCGAAGTAAGCTGCTATGGTCTCCAACCTACGAAGAAAAGTAAAGAAGGATTTATAATCTAATTTGGAAAATGACTTTAGTTGTGGTAGTATGTGAGAACTAGTCAATGGCACATTCAAAATAAGCACAAGTTTAATTTAGGTAGTATCTCTATTACATTTAAGAAGTAGTTAGTAGGTCAATTTTAGCACAGAGTGGTACTAAATAATGACACAGTCTTAAGCCAATACAGTACATAATTGCATAATTCTTAAAATGTCCTAATTTCCATGTTATCAAAGAAACAAATCTGTAACTGCAGATAGTTTCCCCAAACAATAAAAATCAAGAACAAATCATGTCAAAACATGAAATTTCAACTAAATTTTTAATTCAAGGAATAAACTGTGTTATCAAAAACATAAAAAATGGGCAAGAGAAAAAGCAAGAGAACTAGAGAGAAGCCTAGAGAATCAATACTAAAAACTTAAAATAAACCATTAAAAGAAAAAGAAAAAGCTAAAAGTAAAATCTAATAATTTAAATACAAAAGAAAGCAGAATCGAAAGTACACCAAAAAAACAAATTTTTAAAGGAGGGTTGGGAATGGGACATCAGAGGCAAATTTTAGACAAACCTAATAAGAAAATAAAAATTATATCTAAGATCACAAAATAAATTATAAACATATTACAGAGTCTAAGAAACATGAAATGAATTAAATACAATTCTGTAAGAAAGTCTTCTCCCACGTATTTGAATGTCGAAGTTAGATTATTTTTGTAAAATTATATAGATTGCTAAAAGGATCCAAATAAGAGGAAATTGGGAATAGCTGATCCCTGGATGAAATGGATTATCACTACATAGTTCCTTCACCTGTGTCCCCTGAGAGGGAAGCATTGTGAAAAGATGCTGTGTATTTGCTCAGCCATTTTGCACATAAGGAACAGATAATTCCCATGTGTAACTCCTCAAAAACCCAGGCATGGTACAATTCTCTATTACCAAATAAAACAAGAGCCATGGATCAATTTTACTTATTAATATAGATTCATATCCTAAACAATGTTCTAGAAAAATAAATTTACAGACCATTGCTAGCCTTGTATACCAAACAACATGACAGCTCTATAGGTGCCAAAATGTCTGCCAGCACTTTTGATTTACTGAAACACAGTGGACTGGTGAGGTGGCTCATTGAGTAAAGGCCCTTGATGCTAAGGCTAGTGAGCTGAATTTGATCCCCGGGACTAACATGGTGAAAGGAGAGAAGTGATTCCATTATATTGTTCTCTGATTTCCATGTGTATGCTACAGTGCAACCCCACCCCCAACACAATAAACAAACAAATACATGTAATAAAAATTACAGCAAAACTAATGTCATCACTCCGCACCTTTCAGTGCAGTGGCCATGAACTATGTCAATGGGCCCGTTTATGTCCCCATCTGTCCCCAGCCTCCTGTCTTAATAATTTCAGCAAGTTACTACATCAAAGCTTAGCTAATGAGATGGAAAGGAGGACACGAGACAACAGTGAAATTTCCCAAGATTTCTGGTAATAAAAGAAATAATAACAGAAGAGCTGAAGAAGAGCTCTTGTTCTTTCTGATATTTCTAAAGGTGAAACACTGGAAACTCTTTCCACCGTTGCGACCTGTACAAAGATCCATGAGACTCTAGTTCCATGAACTTATCCTAGAGGATGGAGTAGCCCCAGCATTAATCCACTCTCAGCTAGCCCTATTCAGGTATCAGTAAAAAGCAGGCAGGAGTGCCTCGGGACAGTCTGTGCTCACAGACAGGCACAGACACTTTCTGGAGACATGGCATGTGTGGCGTGTGGCGTGTGGCGTGTGATGTCTGTGCAGCAGCAGGCCTCAGCTAGTGCTGCTCAGTGGGCACCATAATTAGGCATTTGGGAAACTGTGAGGACACTTTTTGTTTTTCTGTTTTTATCTATTTTTCTGATTTTGGTGGGCAAGACCAGCATAGAGTAGTTAAGAATGACACCATGGGAGAGTTTGAAATGTGATGGTCAAAACACACGGATTCCCTAACATCCTGTGTGTCACATAGGTGAAAGCTTTGCTGTGAAGCACAAAAATCTAGTCCACTTTTACATATTAAACATAAAGTACTTTTGGAAATGATAAATATTGGCAGTTTCCCAGGATGATTGGTGGAACGCAAATGAAAAAGCACTTCTGTCTTCCTCCTGGAAAACTGCCAAGAGTGTCCCACTTTTCAGAGAAATCAGTCACCAGCCCACACAGCCGCATTGGGCCACGTTTATTCTAGAGAATTCCTGGCCATTTAGGAGACAGACAGCTGACTGTCTTGTCTATGGCTGAAGCTCTCCCAGGCTTCTCACATATTGGAATAAATGTGTTTTTCATTTTGTTGCCTTACTTTTATTCATAACTTAATGATTTTAATACAATGAGTAGAACTCTATATAGTCTCAGAGAAATGAGAAAGTAGCCCATCAGTATCTAACAAAAACAAAACAATACTGTAAATAGGTATTTATAGTATTTGACAAATTCTTGTTGATCAATTAGTGTGAAAGTGCCAATCTTAGAGTATTCAGTCTTTAACGGAGGCAGCATACTGCTACTGCCCTTGAAGACTAGAACACATGAAACACGAGTAAGATAGTGAGTGAGTGCCCTGCTCTCTAATCCCCCAGGTTCTATTTGCTGCTTCTATGATCGTTGTCTCTCTTTCCTATTAGTCCATTAGGAGATGACAAGAAGGAAGAAGCAGCCAGACAAGCATGCTGAAGTGAGCCAGTCCCCTGGGTCCTGATTAATGAAATTCAAGGACGTTAGCAAGGAGAATGAAGCTGCCATCCAGATGTTAGAAGAGCAACTTACAGGCCACAAGGGCCCCAAACCTGGAAGGTACAATTGATTTTGGCAGTGTTTCTCTTTGTGGAAGGAAACCTTATTAATTCTGAAAGCCTCTACTCTCTCTGGACCCAGGCATAGCAATACTTTAACCACCACATTTTAAAGAGAGATACTGGAATCAAGTTAATAAAATGAAATAACTGACTCTAAATGTATTTGTACTTCACAACCTAGCACTTGTAAATTAGTACTGTCATTAAAAAAGCAACCAAACAAACAAACAAAGAAAAAAGCCCTCTTTCCTTTGTGCTTGAAGGTAAAATAAGTGATTCCATATTGCGTAACTACTGGCTTCTATTGTGAGATAGGAGTGAAATGTGTTCTCTGCCATGAGGCTTGCCCTGTCTCCAGATGTGCAGCTAACACTTAGCCCTCCCGTTGACTGTGAGCTTCACCACAGATTGCTCAGCCTCAGGAATGCAAGTGGATGTGATTAATCCATTTCCACATAGAGGCTTTGGCTGTCATGGGTGACTCAAGCACTGTTTCCTTTTCCTCCGCAGAGACCAGGAGCCTGGGTCCTACAAAGCCCTAGAAGCCAGCAGCAGAGCCTCGAGCAAGACGGATTCCAAGCCAACATACTGCCGGGGCAGAAAACAAACCCAGTAACGAAGCACGGGTGGTTTTTGCTTGTTATCACTTTTGACTTCCACGGGGAGTGTTGCAAATAGCTTTTTATAGCACATCTTAAAGAACAATAACTAATATTGAAAGTGGGTTGTAGTAAGTTTTCTCTTCTTTTAAGAAGTCATGGATATCATGCAATGATCACTTTCAGAGGGAGTACAGGAAGTTCGTCAATTCAGTGGTCACATTTGCAAAGGAACCACGGGGGTAGTGCAAAACACCAGAGTTCTATGAAAAAGGCTCAGGTTTCAAGGAAAGTTATTTTGTGTATGTGTGGATATTTGTGTTTGTATAGGTGAACATGCACTTGAGGATGCGTGTGTGTGTGTGTGTGTGTGTGTGTGTGTGTGCGTGCGTGCGCGTGCGTGCATGCGTGTGTGTGTGTGTGTGTGTGTGTGTGTGTGTGTGTGTAAGGGGTAATACACACGTGGAGGCCAAAGGATATCTTAGAGTGTCATCCTCAAGTACATCATCTGCTTCCTTTGGTAGAGGGTTTTTCACTGGCACAGAGCTCACAAATTAGGTTAGACCTGCTGACCTCAGGGAGCTTCATGTCTTGAACATACCAGCGCTGGGATCACAAACATGCCATCTCACATAGGAAAGGAGTCAAACTCAGGCTCTCATGCTTGCAAGGTAAGTTGTTTTCTAACTAAGAATTGCTGCCTGCCTCTCAAGGATTTATGCGTTCATTCTGTAAATACTGAATGCTACAAATCCTGAGCCTCAGGACAGAATGAGTAGCCCAGCTATTAAGCCTATGAAGTATTACAAATGGCATTTATTGGCTAAACCAGCTCCTAAAGAAAACTACTCACTAAAACCTGAGATCTTATAAAGTGACTATTTCCTGTACAGAGAGCTAAGATTTACTGGGCTGCAAAACACAATTCCTACGTTCAGTGTGAATTCCAGAGCTGAGTAAGCAGTAGGCTTTGACATCTGGAATAGATCAAGTCCCAAGCCATGCCTTAATGCACGCATGCATTTCTCTGTATGCTAACTATCCAGTTTTACTTTACACTACAAATTCTAAAATATATTTAAGTATGAAATCTTAATTCAAAACAAACCAAATATTCTGAAACTAAGAGCTTTGGCTCATCCCGTGGCTGAAATCACAACCTGACCATACGGTAACATTCAATGTGTGAACATACTCCCTGCACATTGAATTGCAGGCTGATGCCTCCTCAGTGGCAGAGGGACTCGATCTTAGAAGCTGTGCTAGGCTAATTTAGGTGAGTAGAAAGGGACTGTGGATTCACCCCAAAATGAGAGAATGACATGCTAGGGATAGAAGGTGAGACACGTCAGGCACAGCCTAATACTTTTTCTGGGATTATAATTATATTATTATTGGCTCTTACTATCCTTCATTGGCATTTGGATCACTTTGTGGCCAGAATTTCAGCATTTTGTGAGACTGCAGCATCTTTTGTAGTCTCGCAAAAGAGTGTTGGCTCCAATATCTCTATCAATAAATTATTTATTAGATTTTTAAACTGACTTTCTAAAATCAAGTAAATTTAATGTATTTTCCTTAGAATTCTCTTCTCTGCTGATTAGAAGTCAGCATGGAAGCCTTCCTCTTCTCCTTCTCATCATTCTCCTCATTGTGCTGTAGTGGCCACTCGCTGGGAGTATGCACAGTGCTAGGAGCCTTCTGATCTTCTACCCACATGCTCGTATCCACCCCAGCCTCATTCTCTCCGCCTGTATGATCACATGGGAATAGTGATTGCCTAACTAGTTTCTTTTCTCCTTTATGATGGTAGTTACTACAGTCTGTTTCAGTGTTTTGGTTTATTGTATTTTTACCTCATTCACTCTCTGGGACTGTGTTGGCCACTGTTCCTGGCCTCCCTTTTTCGTGGATATTTGACTGTAGACTGAAGTCAAGAGCTTCCTACTTTTTTCACAGTATATTTCTCTCCTACATAATATTTAATTTTGTCATAACATAGCACTTGTCTCCGTGTCTTTGGGGAGTGGGGACCCCGAGGGAGGAAAGTCCTGAGTGGTTGTGTACAGCTGACATAGCTGCGTCCTGTCAAGGCCTCAGACTCACAGGAGAATGGCAAAGCCTTCCCTGGGATGAGCGTCAAAGGGGTAGCACCTTCCTCTGCACTGTGTGCAGACACTGATGGTGTGTGCGCCAGGCCTTTCTCCCTGTGGATACCCATGGCCTGAAGACTGTTTTCCTGTAGTGATTGTTCCTCCTGAGACCAGCTAAACCTGCCTCCTGTTCAGCTCTGTACAATAGTCTCCTTCCTTGTTTATCTGTCCAGCTGTCTGCAATAACCCTGCCTCTCTTCCCAACTGTATGTAATTAGTAAGCCAAGCTCTAAGCGCTGCATTTTCTCCATCAGTGAGTACAGCACACTTGATCTCAGCTCTTGGTTGGTCTGTGTGTTTGCTTTCCTTTATTCTCTTTTCATTCCAGTCAGAGCTGGCCCCTGAAGTTGTGCAAGGATGTAGCACATTTCTAACAAGGAAGATTTTCCCCCAGAAATCCCTCTGTTTCTCTAGGAGGCATGCCACCCCACTCCATTAGTCTCTCCTGCAATGCTCCTTTTCCGGTTTCTCTGGGGGGAATATGTGTGGAGGGTATGTTTTGAAATATGATGAGGTATAAAACCCCATTCATTTCTCTCCACAGCCTACTCCAAGCTCCAGTCTTAATGTCATATGTTAGATTTTTCTTATTCAACCCATACCTTGCATTTTCTGGAATAAAAAAAAAATTAACTTTTATTACTACCTTTTATGCCCTTCATTCACAGTAGAGTTGATGGCTCGAGCCATTTATTAAATATTAATGAGAAACATTGCTTTTTATTCTGGAAAGATGCTTCTGTCACATCTATCATATTGTTCTATACAATTGAAAAGCTTAAATGAACTAAAAGTTAATCTCTCTTTGAGCTCATCCTTCTATAGCCAGATCACACTGACGAAGGGCAAAAAAGTATTTTTAGAAGTAGAAACGTTAATTAAGATGCGCATACATGTGGGTGCATGTGTCTGTCTGTGTGTACATGCATATATGTGTGCATGTATGTGTATGAATTTATACATGTATGTGTGATTTTACGGTTTTGTTTAAGATAGCAATGTTCTTTATAATTTCCATCAATACTTTATAAAACTGTGCACACATCAGAGCGTAATCAGTTGTATGGCCAGCTATGGAAGAGTCTTATTGGCTGATTCTAAACTGCTAAGATCAAGGAAAGAGCAAAAATTTGGTCTAGAAGACCTTTTATTAATATAATGTTTTATAATAACATTTAAGGCTTTCTTTCTCATTTCTGCTCGGATTTTAATCTCACAATGGATAAGAAAATAGGTAAGGCATCTTACTGAAGTGGGAACTGGATACCCAAAGAATTACCCAGAGTTATACAGACATCTAACAACAGAAGCAAAGCAAGAACTGAGGTCATTTAGCCAAGCCCCATTCTAACTACAATGTATTCTGCCATTCTGCTTTACAAAATTAAGTCGCTGGGTGCCAGTTTTATGATTTTTCCCCCACAACAATATAAAGGAGGTTATGAGACAGAAATTCATGGAAAGTGTTTCTCACTGTCAAATAGGGTGCAGCATTCCAGATTATCTGACAAGTTTACTGCCAGCAGAAGAACGTCTACCAAGAATACACGAGAACTCTTCAGAGTCCCCTCAATATCATTGTGACATGTTTGCTTGTCTTAGATAACTCTTGTGCCTGGCTTCACATTTTCCTGTGCCTCAAGAGAAGGGTATGGAATTCACAATGTCATCTTCTCAAGAAAAGACTACGTGTCCATAGTGGTTAAAGGTACACCATTACAAGCCTGTTCTTGCAAGAGACCAGTGCAACTCCTAAACTCAACTGTGGGCAGATAGGTTAACTGCTCTGAGCCTTGGATTCATGAGATTAAAATGGGAGAATTTGAGGTATTAACAGAACTCTGTGTCAAGATGGCTGGGTGATATGCAAATATCTGACTTTCTCTGGGTTATGCTGTCTGGCATATAAAATTGCTCTAGAACCCCTCTGAAATCTTAGTCCTATCAATAAATCTAGTTACATTTATTCACATGCATGTACTGGATGAGCTCCACTGAACAGCTGCTAACTTTCAACTTTCCTTTCAGTGCTTCCCTGGCTCCTCTATCAAGCTCTTGTTGTTTTACTTTCTTTAGGTCTGTTTTAAAGAAATTCTATTAGATCCTCTAGAAGACTTCTTGAAATCTCTGCTTTATCTGGAAGCTTCTCCTTCCACAAGATACTGGTTCAGTAGTGCTGTGGAAAGGCATAAGATGACATTTCTGACAAGCTCTCTGGTGATCGAGATGCACACGGCTTGGCAGCCATTTGAAAACCACCACTACACAGAACATGGGAATTGTAATGAGTGTCCTGCAAGGGTAACTGAATGCAAAGGTTACCTCAATGTAAGTGTGAGAACATCCCATCTGGCTCTCCAGCTCCACGTGGGTGAAGTTGATGACTATTTGCTCTCCTTTGGGCTGTGTGATGAGATAGACACACTGTCTGTCGTGACTGAAAGGTCCAGTCAGGGGAGGAAGGAGGAGCTCACCCTCGGGGTCTGTGTAGTTCCCGCCACAGGGCAGATCCGCTGAGGGAAACAACGGAGGAGAAGCGTGGTCATGGGGATAGCATTTCTCTGACTTCCACACATTAGATTCAATTTTCAAAGCTTAAGCTGAGCCCTGCATTTAAGTACCTACTCTGTTCTGTCCATCCTGTCCATGTCCATGCCACTTATTATAAAGTTTTAGGTTCATATATATGCCAGATATCCCTCCAGATACCGAAGAAGTAGATACAGAGAAGTGTGACTGAACTTCTGAGCTGTCGCTCTCCTATGTAAATTTCTTTTTAAATACATTAATGCTTTCCTTCATGCCAAAAAGATTTAAGGCACTCTATAAAGTATTGTGACTGAGTAAGATATGTAACTATATAAAAGAAGCATATTGAAGGAAGAGGGCATAGGAGAGCAACATATAGCCATTGACAGTCCTTAGAAGAGCTCTAGAAATTACAGAGACTGTGCATTCGGCCTAAAGCCAAAGCAAAGAGAGAAGGAGACCAATGAGGATGCTTATTCTTTTTTTTTTTTTTTTATAGAGACTTACATGAATTCTCACTGAGAACACAGTAATAAGTGTCAAAAGCATAATTCTCTAGCTCACTCAAATGAAAACCACAGACTATTTCATTCTTGTTCTTTGTTTCAAGGTATGAATGTAATTGACAGCATCAAAACTAAATATATGGAAGTGAATCCTAGCAATGGGAACAATACCTTCCTGGAAGTTGGCTTTTCTGTACTGGACTTGATCCGAGAATGAAGCCAAATATTTCTCAGAGACTGCACTGTTATCATGAACAATCTTGCATGCAACAAAGCAGCAAATACCATTAAGAAACTGAGGTTCTGAATTAGTTAACTTTAGGTGCCTGTGGTCTCCCTCACAGTGTGGATCCCATAGTTGAAGGGTTAAGGGATGCTGTAGTATTTAACACTGTGAATATAAAGACTCAGTCTAAAGTGGTGTGAGAATATGCATGATGGCATGTCGCTAAGAAAGCCTCACTTTTGGCATCACCATAACAAGCAGCTAGAGCACAGTCCGTGTCCTCAGTGGGCAGGTTACTTACACTGTGTGGTTAGATAGGTGATATGAAAGCCTTTGTCAGAAATCTCGGCGTCAGAATGGAAATGAATCCTGGCAGCGGGTCCTGTAGTCTGGAGTGGTGGGGTGGACAGAGAAGTGCAGAATTTCCCAAGAACAGGGTCTTGATGGAAAGGACCATCTCGAATCTAAAACAGAAGAACAAGTAGTCAGGTTCTCACTAACCAAGCTTATGTCACTTAGGACATACGCTTCAGAAAACCTGTCATTTAACTATGGTAGCAAGGCAGAGCAGTCTAAGGTGCTGGATTATCACAATTATTAAAAAGGGAAAATGATTCCCTGCCGTCTACATAATAATCCAAACACACAGCCAGTGTCCAGGAAAGAATGTGTTCTCACTGTCCTGTCAGGTGCCTCAGCTACTGCTGGAATTTCCACCCTGGAGCTGAATACATGCTTCCGCATTTTCTTATGATGCAAAGCTCAAGGTCTACTTTCATGGTACCCCCTCCCTCAAAGTGAAGAAATCCTAGTAATTCAGAAGAAAAAAATGAGTATGTCAAAGAGAGCAGGAGAACGGATGGTAGCAGTGATGGGAACTGATCTGCAACTAGGGCAGGCACACAGGTGTGCACGGGGATGCAGGTGGGAGAGAGGGAACCTATAGCTGCCTTTCAAAAGTACGTGGCTGCCATTCAGCACTGCATACAGTGGTACTCCGCAAGCCAACAGTGTGAACCTGCAAACAGTTCTCATTCTATGTCTCATGTGCATGAATTCTGTGTACATGTGCTTATATTATAGCTGTGAATGTATGTACTTACAAGTATATGTATATATGTGTGTGTGTGTATACATGTATACAGTTGCATGAAGGTGTATGTATATCTATAAGCATGCACATATACTTGTGGGCCAGGGAGTTCTTATGGAGATCAGAGGACAGCATTCAGGAATCAAGTTCTCTTCCATTGTGAGATCTGATAATCAAACTCAGGTCCTGACGCTTCCTGGACAAGTGCTTTTACCGGCTGAGCCATTTCACCTACCCAAGCTATTCATAATGTAACCTCAAGTCAATGGTTTCCTTCACCTCCTCCTCTTTCTCCTCCTCTCCTCTCTTCCCTCCTCTCCACTCTGCTCCCCTCCCCTCCTCTCCCCACCCCTCTCCTCTTCTCTCCTCTCCTCTCCCTCCCTCTCCCTTCCCTTCCCTCCTCTACCCTCCCCTCCCCTTCTCTCACCTCCTCTCCTCTCCCCTCTCCTCTTCTCTCCTCTCTTTTCCTCTCCTCTCCCTATCCCTTCCCTTCCCTACTCTCCCTTCCCCTTCCCTTTTCTCCCCTCCTCTCCCCTCCCCTTTCCTCTTCTCTCCTCTCCTTTCCTTTCCTCTCCTCTCCCCATCCCTCCCCTCCCTCCTCTCCCTCTTTCTTCTCTCCTAGCCTATCCCCTCCCCTCCCTTTCTCTCCCTTCCCCTCCCCTCCCCTCCTCTCCTCTCCTCTCTTCTTTCCTCTTTCTCTACTCCTTGCTCTCCTTTTTAGCAGGGCTGAGGATTGAACCTAGGGTCTCATGTAACCTCCAGCCCTTAAAAACCCTTGTTGGCTTTTTATGCATTAGATAAATCACAGTGAGCACTCTATAATTCTGACATAATTGCAAAAATCTATAGTACATAGAATACCAAAGAGTGAATGAACTGAAGAATATTCTCATATGGGCAATTTCATTCACTCAAATCAATTTTTACATTGGCAGCAAATTTATAGAGCAAAGTTACTTTATTTTTTTACTTGTAACTAGTTCTTTGAAACATTGATGAGAAATGAGAGGGAGTTCAATATTGTCTAAATGATTGATACTTTCTATAATATGCTGTTCAGGAATTAATATGTAAGAATAAAAAGGCTTTAATATTCATTTGATATGATTTATTGAATATTAATTTCACAATAACTCACTTCTTACTGTCAACTTTTAAAAGGATATTTTGCTAAGACATTCCAAGGAGAATGATCAGAGTCATTCCCAAAGGTTTCAAATCCATTATTACGACTGCTAATGACTAATGACTTCAACTTTGGAGACCTGCTTGACAGCTGTATCCTTTATCCTTTATGAATAATTCCACAGGACTCTATCCTTCTCTAATGGACTCAAAAAGGTTCATTTTCTCTTTAGCAGTGCTGTGGGGCACTGAGATTTACAGTGACAAAAGTACAGGAACCACCTAAGAACCCAGTCTCCTCAGTGACCTTTCTAGTCTACAAATGGAGAATAACAGTTTTGATGTATTTCATTGTATATGGAATATGAATGTAACAGCCCCTTTCCTCCTCTATATTTTAACCTTTTGCTAATGGAATAGAGCAGGCAGACTCCTCTTCCCTCAAGGGTAATTTTCAACATTTCCCAGTGAGACTCAACACTGACCAACCATTTCCTACAGAATTGTTATGGCCCACTAGAGTCAAGTAGTGGGCCACCTGAGGGTTTGCCTCAGACAACTAAAAATTAAAATCTGTATTGGAGGAGACAGCCATTGCTCAGGTTTTATTCTCACTCCGGGAGTCTGAATTTCCCGGAAAGGACAGGGTTCGGGGTGAGGCAAAGCAGGCTCTCCCACACTCAAGTGGAACCTAGAAAACTGAGTAACACTGAGTGTAATTGAGATTAGAGACTTAGCATTGGCTGCATATGTATTGGTAAAAAAAAAAAAAAAAAAAAAAAATCATGGAAATCCACGGCATCATAAGCCAGTGCCTGAGTGCTAATCAGCTAATCATACCATATTAAGGCCTTATCTAAATGTAATTTTTTACCTCCAAATAATCTTTGCTGCAGTCATCGTGGCTCTCCAGACTCAAGGTTCCAAAGGTAAATGTTATCAAGGAGCCAGGACTGGCTAGAATGTGCCAGACACAATCTCTTCCTGGGGGGTAGTTTCCAGGGTACCCCGGAGATGTAATAGAACCATAATTACCAGTGATTATGCCACCACATTCTGAAATAAGAGGGAAAGTGAGTAAGTTCATAAGTGGGCTAAATTCACATAGAATTCTCACAGACTCTGCTGTCAGAAGGCAAGCTTCATTTACATAGCTATGAAGAGTTTAGGATGGCCTCATAAATTTCACAGTACTTTGAGCTGTCCAGTGTCATGACTATAAATCTAGCACCGACTGATAAGCAATGCTCTAAAATCTGGAACTTTTGTCAGAATTAATATTAATATATATTAATGCTCTAAAAATTCTGGAACTTCTGTCAGCCTCTATATCTTTCCATAAACCAGAACACTTTATTCTTTAAAATAGTTAAGAAACACCTAATTTTCTTTTAAGAAATTTTTTCTTATGCTGTAAAATAAATTATTATACTTATATAGATTATATAAGTATAAAATTATAAGATAAATTGTCTTACAATATATAGATCATATGTAAATTTGACATGCATAAATTATAAAATATGTTGTTCCCATTTATAAGTAAATGTACATGGTGATTAAGCAAATGAAACAAGTAGCGCACTGAACTGGGCTTCCTGGTGCCATCCCCAGTACGTGACATTGACTCCTTATTTGGCTGGCAAATCACTGGAGATGTAGCGAAGAACTCTTCTTTTTAATATTCACATTTATTTAATGGAGAATCTGTGGTGGCTTGTAATAAATGTTACTGTAGAAGCAAAAAGTAGAAACACCAACTAATCTAGACTTTGATAAATATGCCTTGAGAAAGAAAGAAATTACGATGACATCTTAAACATGTAAAATAAGATATTCAAATAACTATGCACATAAGGCAAAGCTTTTGTTAGCAAAGGAAAACCTGAAACAATTAGATACATGAATTTCATTATTCCAAACAGGGAACATCCATGTTCAGAGAAAGGTACATTACCTAAAACTTAACTTGAAAGTATATTATGAGTATAAAACTTTTTAATTCATAAAATAATATAATCAATATACAGATTTAAAGATCAAATGTAAATGTAATATATAATAGTTATCATCCATAGTGTAGAAAATTTCAGGAAAGAGTAGCAATATGAAGACAGACTATACTAAAAAGATTCCAGTGTCCCAAGTACACATAGAAAGATGTCCAGCATCTCTGCTACCACTGAGATAAGGGCTCTTGACTTTCAAAGTTATAAAAGTCCAGAAGTTTAAAAACAAATTATTAGACTGGCTGTGAATAGTCACTGTCCCACAGTGTTAGGAAAACACAAGATGGTCTGAACACTGCAGAGGAAATACGACCTATAAAACAGCAAAATCTTATGCATGATTTTGAACAAGCAATCCCAAAGGCAGAGGGGGAAAGTTGGAATAAGGCTAATATATAAAGTTTACGAGGTACATCCACAAGTCTAAAGAAAACAAATCAAGTGTCTATAAATACATATTTGAACAAGGCAGGACGTATCTATGTAATGGTGAGCTCCGTTCTAGATTTGATGCGGTTTCTAGGGTCAAGGAAGGACAGGTAAATACCTCTGCATATGTAATGGTGCCTTTTAGTGTAAGAAGGGAAACTATTAGTCTGTGTGGTCATTAAAGGGATAAGTATAAAGCTAATTTTACTAACAATCTACTTATAGCAGGAAATAGGGTAGAAGCTGTACATGTGAAAAAGCAGAATGTTCATTGAGATGACTCTAGCACTGTGCAAACATTTTATACAACCATAAAGCAACATTTATTTGAAAATCTAAAAAGGTATCAAAGCAGATGCTAAAACTCATAGCCAAACTTTGGGCAGAATGCAGGGAATCTTATGAAAGAAGGAGGAGATAGAAAAACCTGGAGAGGGCAGGAGCTCCACAAGGAAAGCAGCAGAACCAAAAAACCTGGACACAGGGGTCTTTTCTGAGACTGACACTCCAAGCACCATGCATGAAGATAACCCAGAACCCCTGCACAGATGTAGCCCACGCCAGCTCAGTGTCCAAGTAAGTTCCCTAGTAATGGGAACAGGGCTTTTCTCTGACAGGAACTCAGTGGCTGGCTCTTTGACCACCTCCCCTGAGGGGGAACAGCCTTACCAGGCCACAGAGGAAGACAATGCAGCTAGTCCTGATGAGACCAGATAGACTAGGGTCAGATGGAAGGGGAGGAGGACCTCCTCTAACAGTGGACTGAGAGAGGAGTATGAGAGGAGAAGAGAGAGGGAGGGTGGGAGTGGAAGGAGATGAGGGAGGGGGCTAGAGCTGGGATACAAAGTAAATAAACTATAATTAATAAAAAATTAATTAATTAAAAATATTTTTAAATTTTTTAAAAATCTAATAAAGAATCTCTAAGAATCACCAATAAATAATTTCACTGAACTGAAAAGTTAAACATGAATACTAAGACTTTGTAACTTTAAAACACTGTAACACTGCCAAGGGGAAAAAATGTATGTTTTGTTTTACTTCCATAGATGGGGCCGTGCTATGTATGCAAGTTTTAGACCTGTGGCCTTCCTGTCCTCCACTTCCTAAATGCTGAGGGCTATCGGTGTGTAAAATCATGCCCCCATAAAATATATAGTGAGCATAAAATATCAGCAATAAAACAGTAAATTATTTTCAATTATATTATTAGTAATAATATTGGCATTGGCCTTGGGAAAATTTAAAGGATCAAATCCAGAAGTGATATGCTATTTTCACTGGCAATCATGTTTTTTAGTGAGTGAGGGGAGCCATAAATATCAATAGAAAATAAACCTTAAAATCTTAATATATCTGTATACTGCAGGACTACTGCAGGTCCAGTGATTTTTTTTTTCCCTTTAATAGTATTAAAAAGGTATTTTCTGCTTCTGTGCTTTGAGAGCTCCAGAGACATCCAGAGACCTGGCAACAGAAATCATTCTTATTACCAGATGTAGGACCTAAAGTCCAGTTTCCACTGAAAAAAAAGACAGCTCTTTCCAGAAGTAACTGCGGTGCTGAAACTATAAAAATATGGAAAGGGCCTGGAAAATACTTTCAAACCAGAGAGCAAAGTAACTTTCAAAGGTTACTGGGGTCTTGTCCAACAGACTCAGAAACTAAGCAGAAAAAAATTACCACTAAAAAATATGAAACAATTAAACATTTTAAAAGAATCTAAAATACTTTAAACCACATCAACTCTTATCAAATATACTAATTTATAGATATCAAAAATAAACAAAAAACAAAATGAAATAATAATTAATCATTTTGAACAATCCTAGGAAACCAAGTCACTAACTCAAATACTAATAGAAAAGGGAGAAAACTGTAAATGTTTTTTCTTTCTTCTGTCCTAGCTTGCTTCCTGTTGCTCGCATAAAAGCTGAGCAAGAGCAACCTAGGGATGGAAAGGATATATTTGGCTTACAGGTTAGAGCCACGATTAAGGAAACTGGGGTAGGAACTCAAGGCAGGAACCTGGAGGCAGGCCCCAAAGCAGCAGAGCCCCAGGAGGGTGTTTACTACCTTGCTCAGACAGATTTTTTACACAAACAAGGACTACCTGCCTATCCCACAGTGGGATAGGCCCTTCTTCATCAATTACCGATTAAGAAAACACCCCGAAAAACAAGCCCAAAAGCTACACTAAAAGAGAAAATTCTTTAATTGAGGCTCCTTTTCCCAGGTGATGCAAGTTGCATCAAATTGACAAAAACTAAAGCAGCACATCTTCTAAAATCCACAAGTAAGCAAATACCCGGTGTAGTGAACTTATACCCCTTGATAACTTGAGATAATAAATAATAAGAAATGATACACTTACACTCTCATCATCTTGTGAGTCCCTATGAATTTAAGAGTTGCTAAAAACCGCTGTAGAAAGCACAAAAGAGATGCTTTTGAATGAAAAGATCAACCTGGGAAGATCAACAATCTAATCAATACTGAAGTAATAACAGAGAAAAAGAAACTACAATGTGCTACTGAACGTGGTTACTTTGGCCAGGAAGAGAGAGAGAAAGAGAGAACTAAATAGAACTTTTGACCCAAGTACTAGTTTACAGCATGACAAACGGCACATGGGATGTGAACAGCACAATCCATACGGTGTTTGCTGTATAGAACACATAACTAGTTTCCTTAACAAATAAATTCCAACAATGCTTGATTCTTGGTATTAGAATTACTGTCTGTTGTTGCTGTTTGGGGGTCTCAAGGAACAAACAGCATGGTACTGTGCTCTTTGAGCAGTGCAGAAGCCTGTATGCTGAATCCTGTACCCATCCTGGAATTCTTCCCGTGTGTAACTTTCAGATGGTTACCGACGTAAACAAGGAAGACAGTAATTCTTTTGCCAGCTGAAGTCAATGAAAACCCAGAATGTCAAGCTTCTCGAGTATTCAATATTTCAGAGCAACATATTACACAAGAAAGCAGTTGCATGAAGATAGTGCCAAATATTTTTGTATGAGTTTCCCCAGGTATTTAGAAAAATCTTTAAGGGCTGATACATGAGGAAGACGATAGAAGGCGTAACAGAGATCAGCTCAGCATGGTGGAATGAGAGAACACCAAAGTTGAAGAAAATGAATATCCAAATGCTATTACAGACTCAGCCAGAAGGGAAAGAGTTTTGTGAAGATCCTGAAAACAGAACTGAAAGTTCAGAAAAGCTACGCTTGAATGGTAAGAACCATGTTCTAGGAATCATGGTACTCCACCAGGATTAAGGGATAATTTTGAAACACCCCTTTCAATTCAGGCATCAATTGGATCAAGGCAATATGTCAGTAATGTAATTGCCTGTTAAAACAAAGCCAACTGGTTAGGGAATATAATCTAACCAGGAGTCCTTATAACATTATCTGTGATGTTCTGTTCCTAACACAAATTTATTAGGCCCAGGTGGGGAAAAGTAAAATAATAATAATAATAATAATAATAATAATAATAATAATAATAATAATAAACAAAGGAGTCACTTGGAGCAAAGCCAGAATGAAATCTGATATTGGGGTCCCATACAAGGACTCCATAGTAACTACAATCAGACCTAGAGGGGAAAGTTGACAAAAATACATTCTGATGAACTTTTTCAACAGATAAATAAAATTCATGTTTTAAAAATATCCTATGATGTCTTAGATATTATATTAGCTGTTAAGTCAATGATAAGCAAGCTACAATTTGTAGAACCACAGAGGTTAGGTATAGAGTATGGGACTAGTGTGTAGATACATCTTTTTAGAAAAGAGAAATAAAGTAGTTATAGAATGGCTGGTTGGGGGTGGGGGCTGGAACAGGAGGATCAAGTGGAGAGGGGGATGGGGAAGGAAACATGAGGAGAGACAGTTAAAATTAGGGGCCATTTAAGGGGCAGTATAAAAGCCTAATACAGAAGCCTCCTTTTAAATATATATATATATATACATATACATATATCTAAATGAAATCAATAAACGAGGACACAGAGCCCCCAACTTCTTGTCACCAAATGAAGTGTCTAGTAACAGGACCGGGTTACATCTAATTGAGTTGTTAGTCAAAGGGCTCCCATGACAAGGCCCCATTTTTAAAGACAACATCGACACAACTCATTGAACATGGAGAAGTCAAGCTGGTGTCTACATAGAGTCTGCCCCTATGCGTTAGCATCTTTAGTCCAGGAAGGTGCTCTGCAGGCTACAAAAGCTAGCCACAAACGCTCTGATCTACGATAGCGTCCCATCTGCAGGGTTAGCTGGGACAAGGGTGTCACAAAGGTGTAGGAGTAGACAACCAATAACTGATTTCACTTAATGCTAAGAGAGCAGTTTTCACACATCCTCACTACACACAGAAAAAAAAGGGAAAATAAATATTTCAAATATTATTTAAGCAAAAAATTTAAATATTTGAAATAATTAGAAAAATTAAATAAAATATAGTAAGCAAAGATGTCAGAATAAAATAATCTATAATCCCAGCTTGAGACCTCAGTACAGTTCTCTCATCGATGAAGCAAACATTAAAATATTTGAACAGAGCTACTGACCAAATTGACTAAGTTGACATATATAAATGGCCATATCCAATTATTACAAAATATATGTTTTTCCTCATAATATGGGAAACACCAAAACAAACATCCTGTTAATTCAAAAGCAAATTTCAAACACTCGATACAGTGCACCATCAATAGTGACCACACTGGCAGTTATGATCTCTGAGGAGCCAAAACTAACATGGAAAAATACCTTAATACTAATAAAAATACATCATAAAATAATAAATACAGATAAAACAAAGTCAAATGCTTCATTTCAGTGCATACACTAAATGTATTTTCGTTGCATGTGTGTCTTTCTGAATAATACATCACCTTACATATTGAGGCAAGCTCCCCCATTTGAGCCATTTGAATTTGTTGATTTGCTTAGTCTAGCTAGGCAGCTACGTCCCGCCTCCCAAGCACTGGGATTACAGGCAGGTTGTCACTCCAGCCTGGCTTTTATGTAGGTCCTTGGAATGTGAACTGCAGTCCTCACACTTGCATAGCAAGCATTTGGCCACGGAGCCGCCTCTCAGCCCCTAAAAGACTATTTTAAAAGGCCAAAAGATTATAAAGGCAAGAGTAAGTTAAACTTCCCAAGTATTAGAGAGAGAAAAAGGAAAAATCTCACCTTTAATGTAAGTAGGCTTGAAGTAAATTCAGCACATTAATGAGGCAGAAATAGTGCAATGTGGTTTTAAAGAATTGACTACTAGCTGTCAGCAAACCTGCCTGGCCTTGTGGTTCTCTCTCTGAGAGATGGCAATAACTATTAGATGGCCTGATGGCACTCTCATTTAAAGGTAATCTTAGAGTCAATCAAGAAATACTCAATGGTTTTCTTATGAAGTTGGGGAAAAAACAAAACAAACAAACAAAAAACACTACTCATTACTCCCTACTTTAACTTAGCACCATATTGCAGGTTTTAGCCAAGGCAATAATTAAGGGGAAGATGTAAGAATTACAAAATATAAGATTAACAGTATCCTTCCTCACAGATGACATGACAGTACATGAAAAATAGAAAAGAATTTTTAAAAGATTTGGAACTTAAACACTGAAATAAATGAAGCATTAGCAATTAAAAGTTTATAAAAAACGAGTACCAACTGAATATAAGAACAACATTTGGGCATCGTGACATATACTTTCGATTCCACCACTTGGGGGACAGAGGCAGAGAATCTCTGTGAGGTCAAGGCCAGTCTCGTACATAAAGTGAGCCCCAGGGACTAGAACAGTGAGACCTCATCTAGAAAAAAACAGGAACAAAACAAACAAACAAACAAGAACCTAAGAACAATGAAAAAAATTAGCAATTATCAAGTGGTTCTTAAAATAAGGAATATTACTGTAAGGAACAGTCCAAGCTCCCAGTGACATTATTGTGATAACCTTACTAGCTGAAGTTACAAAAATGGTTTTCTGGTTGATGGTGAGAGCCTATTGCTAAAGACACCACACTCCTTAGTCATAGGACATGGAAAAATGAAGTTGGTACTGACCAGGAAGCGTCCTCCCTGATGGCTAGCTTTCACAGTTCTGGAAGATTCTGTGCAGGCTACTAGGGAAAAATTCATCTGTGAACCCTGTAAACTGCAATAAAAACCTGCACAACAAGCTATGTCCAGGTTTGTAAGAGTGGTATGAATAAGTCACATGTGGGGGTGGGTAACCAGTCACTTTCTGACTGGATTTACGGCCTGCTCCATAGAAAGAAACACATGCTTGGTACGGTAAATCCGGCCAAGAACCCAACCTTTATGCCCTGCCACCAGCAGCCCCAGTGACAGCTCTAACCCTAGGAATAGATGGAAACACAAATTGGACTTGGTGAATTATTTAAAAATCAAAAAAGAAGAAAATAACATGAAGTTGAATGAGGTAAGGGTGTGTCTGGGAGGAATTAGGGGGAAGAGAGAAAGTAACTATAATAAAAATAAATTGTATTAAGTTTTGAAACAATTAATACAAATATTATATTAAAACAGCCCAAAAATCTCTATCCAGTAGTTTAATAACCTCATTATTACTCATGAATTTTAAACTTTGCAACACACCCTAATTTTTCTGTTCTTAAATTCAAAATCAAATTTGTTTTCAAATCGTTTGTTCTTAAAAAAATCATTAAAATGTTACATTATTTTTCGGTCACCAAAGGCGTCATAATAGGAAAACAAGTTTTGCTTTCTCCTCCTTTGACACTCACCTGGCTTCTGCGCCTCCCACCTTGCTGTAAAGCCTCTCCCGCCTTTTATGTATTCAGAGTAGAGATGAAAATAGAGAGAGTTGCCGCTGCTGTGGACCCCCTGGGGGAGCTCTGAGCCACAGTATCTCCCAAGTGGGAAACCTGCTGAGGAATCTCCATCGTGAATCTGAAGATACTCTCTGGGGCAATTATTTGCTGATTCTAAGTTGAGAAATGTGAAGGTGACGTGCACAACCTAAAAGAACATACAAGCATCCCCGTGTTAATGCAGAGCCTTTCTTCCACCAGCTAGCAAGCATTCACTCAAAGAGATACAGCCGTCAACCCTATTTACCCATCGATGTGTGCAGCAGGGCTACGCAGAGAGGACTGGCTTTAACATCATTCAAACCAAACTTTAACTCATACAGAAATGTGAGAAGATGTCGGTGGAGATGGACATGCTTTCTATCCTAATTTAATCACTATATATTCTATGCATGCATCAAATTATCATATTATTCCCCATAAAATATGTACTAATGCTATGTATCCATTTTAAAAACAAATTTACCAAGATTTTTATCAAACGACTATTCTATTAAGGGTATGGTCAAGAGTGATTCTAAATAAAATTTTAAAAAATGAAATGGTCATTTGAAAAAAAAATCTTAAATTAAGTCCAAATGGCTAAGCTTGACCTTCATAAGAATGTACCCAGAGCCCCTGAAGAACCTGCCGTATGTGTTCACCCATCCCATATTGATTCCCCTATCCTGTATTGATTCCCCTATCCCCTATTGATTCCCCTATCCCCTACTGATTGCCCTATCCTCTGTTGATTCCCCTATCCCCTATTGATTCCCCTATTCCCTATTGATTCCC